GGGGGGGGGGGGGGGGGGGTGTAAGCCAAAAATTTCCGAATGACGAAAAAAATTTCCGAATATTTCATGGCGTACGAAGCCACGAAAGTGTTTTCTATCCGGAAAATGAAGATGCAACTTACAAACAAAAATACACATATTGTACGCACAGACATATTACAGAAGCATGCAGTGCCGTAGGAAGCTCTTTTTGATTGGGGGTGGGAACGAGGGCCAAAGGCCCGAGGAAATTTTTAAATTTAGATTCTCTGAAATGCCATTTCCTGGACTTTGGGGGAAGTTTTTACAGAATTCTGATGGTCAGAAAACAGAGTTTTAGTATGATATTTGTGATGTTACTCCGAGTATGCATTCACACCGGGTGAAAAGTTTGTTTGGTCACGGTGGGAGTCGAACCCACGACCTTTGGGATACTAGTCCAATGCTCTGCCAACTGAGCTACGTGGTCAAGTCGGTTCGATTTCTTGATATTTCGGAACTGAATCTAGTTCCTTCGATATCAGTGTAATTTATGATATGATTTTTGTGTGTGTGTCGGTGTTATATACTCAGGTGAATATGATGTTTGTGATGTTACTCTGAGTGTGCATCCACACCGGGCAAGCTGAAAATTTGCTTGGCCACGGCGGAAATGAGGGAATCGAACCCGCGACCTTTGGGATACTAGTCCAATGCTCTGTCATATGCAACTGAGCTACGTGGTCAAGTCGGTTCGAGTTGTTAATAGAGTTTTAGTATGTCGAAATCTGTTACAATTTGCTTACAATTTAGTAGTACTAAATGGGCGAAGGCGTATTTAATTAACTTTACACTGGAGAAGTTGCAGGAAAGAGTAAGGGTAATATGATTCTTTGCGGGTTGTCATGGATAATGTAGCCGCTTAAAATTAATCAATTGTCAGTATTTTAAAAGTATATTATTTAAATGATAAAGGTGTGCATGATTTTGAAAAAAGAGTGATTATCAGCAAATTATTGTAAGGGCTGCTGCCCTAGCCCCCCCCCCCCCGTTGCAACGGCCCTGAGAAGTAATAAACCGAAAAAAACATTTACCGATTTACGATTTGTTAAATGTTATCCATGTAAATGCTGTGATTTCGTAAATCAGTTTATAACTTATACTGATCACAATACCATTTTATAATATTTTCTCTGTCTAAACAACTGAAATTCTGTTATACTATTATTGCCGTAATTTACCGAATGGCCAACCCGATTTTCCGAATATGTTAATTTTACAAAAGTTGGGGGGCTAACCACCCCCCCCCAATACCCCCTCGCTACGGCCCTGGCGACAACACATAGACATTGTTGCATTTGTATACCTAGCTGAGAATTGAAAAATTCCCGGAGATCTGTCACAAAATCTGAAATTAAGAAATGTTATAGACGTGTGTATGCAGACTTTGATCACGGAGCACAGCTAGTAAATGGCGGGATTTGTTTGGAACTTATCTCAATTCAACATGTCCATATTTCCTGTGGGAAGCAAGAATCGAAGCTAGTGAAGCTAATATATATAAGAAAGAGGCGGTAACCTCATGATCGTTGCCACGAGAGCGGCTCAGCAACCTGGCCTCCTCGTTTGAAAACAATCCGCCAGGGGGGAGGATCTGCACTGGAATGATGGGGCTTTCAAAACAACACGATATAAATAGAAATGATTACTTTATCCAGTGACGGGACTGGGGGGGGGGGTGCAGGGAGGGCGGCTACCCCTCTTGCCTTTTGCTAGCGGGGGGCAGGAGGGGGCAGAAATGCCCTTTTAGTTGTAAAATATTACGTGGTAAATCACATTTCCAGTGATGCTTTTTCGGGCAAAATCATGAGATTCAGGTAATTTATAGGCCCAGAGAAAGTTAATTTACAAAAATAAGTGTGAATTTGGAATTTACAAAAATTTTCGGATTTTAGAAATTTTTTTTGGATAAATGGGCAAAACTGGTGATATGCGGAAAAATGTTTTTACGTCACGTTTTTTTACCCCTAAAATGGTACACTGCCGAAATTTTTCTGGCGACTGGGGGGGGGGGGCTGATGCTTTCCAGTGGGGCAGTTGAAAGTTTGCCCGAATTTTTATGGAAGATTGTAATGAAATTACATGAATTTAACCTATTTCCTGATAAATCTTCCCGATTTTCTTGATTTTTCCTAGCCTTTACCCGAATTTCCATGGTTTTCCAAAATTTGGGGGGCAGTTGCCCCACCCCTCTGTCTCGTACGCCAGCAGACGCCAAAACACAACTGTCATATAGGCCATTCTCTCGCGATAACACAACTGTCATATAGACCATTGTTATATTTATATACTTAGCTGAGAACTGAAAAATTTCCAGACATGCATCTACAAAATTTGAAATTAAGAAATGTTATAGATGCGTATATGTAGACTTCTATCACGGAGCACAACTAATAAACGGCGGGGTTAGTTTGGAACTTATCTCAATTCAACATGTCCATAATTCCTGTGGGAGTATCCCGAGAAATAAGCAAGAATCGAAGCTAATATATCAGAAGTGAATCAAGTGATAGACGTTTGCTCTGGTGTGCCACTGAAACTCTGTTTCCAACAACTCTTAACGGGAAGAGTCATGAAGGGATAAGATAGGAACAGCATGAGATTTGCCTATTTTTGGACTGGAAAAATGAGATTTGGGTTACTGGGAATGACAGACACAAAAATGGGAATGGGAAAACCATTACGAAGACTGAGTTGAATAACTACCGGGAAACTGGAGGCTTCTTTCAATTTCACATTTTGGACTGGTATTGAGTTAGTGGGAAAATACTGGTAAATGGGATCTATTGGGATCCAGACATATGGATCTAGACCATAGAGATTATAAATAACACTAGAGGGGGCATCGTAGTCTTAATTCAGTCAAAGAGAGGGAACGAGGTATTTGGGGGGGGGGAAAAAAATGCTAAGAGACAAAATCTCTAATTTCTTGCTTATGGCAGTTAAGTAGTCCCGTTTTGATTTTTACCAAGCATTTATTTTTTACCTCAATTTTGTTTATTATAACACATTTTTAAGAGCGCTCGAAAGTAATGCTGATGTCAGCAATTTTGATCTTTTCAAGAGAAATTAATCGTTTGAATTTAGAATTTTGGCGGAATGTTTGTGTAATGACATGCAAAACATATAAAACACACAGTTTTGTGACTCTTGTTTTAAATTTTTCTGCTTTCAAGTGTAACTCAAGAATTGTGTAGTGTTCATTCAAGATTTCAATTTGCCCCCATTACCGCGCTGCCAAATTTTACCCTCGATGCTCCCTCTAGTGTTATTTATAATCTCTATGGTCTAGACCCTCTTCAATACATTCCTCTTGAGTTCATAAGTTCATAAAACAAACATGTCGCTAACTGGAATACTACTTAATGTTTCTGGTTCTATGGAGAAGAACATTGGAGGCGGTACTGATGAAGAAGGCGGACCATGGGCTCAGTCTATTTTCAAAGTTATTGATGACCTTATTGAACATGATCTGACGTCTGATAATCGTGTTTTTGCTATTGGCATCGGTGCAAATTGTTCCAAACAAATATTTGATGTTATTGGAACTATTCAGCAAATCGAGAACATGGAAATGCCTAGCTATCGTAAGAACGCGCCTGCTACAAACGACCACATCAACGAGATATTCACTGTTCTCGAGAAAAATGGTGCACGTAACATACGTAAATGGGCTAATGATATTACTCTTATTCAAGAAACAGTATCTGATTATATGGCTGCATTGATTTTGAGGAAACTTGAGTCTGACCCAGAGTTTCTCAAGAAATTTGTATACGAATTTTTACCATCTGGCTGTCGAGACACATTACCAACAGTACCGTTGTGGCTAGGATTGTATGGTCTAGCGACATTTAATCCTATAGCAGTTGGCTCTTTTTTAGTAGGATGTTCATTGAACGTGGTTGAAAATGTTATTGTATCGGCAGCTAGTTCTTTCCGACCCGCTACTAGGGAGGATATCGAAAATATTGTAGAAAAAGCAAAGTGCTATTTTCTAAAAGACGTAGGGAAGCACTCCATTTTCAGTGTGCAAAATGCTTCTCGCATTATCCGTGGATACGTTGATGAAAAGGAACTATCTACCAAGAGAAAGCAAGAATTGCTTGAGAATGTCGAGCCTTTCATTTATGGTAGAACGCCGTTGTATGAGTCTCTCGAAAAGGCGATAAAGCTTTTCGAAGGAGACACACACAAATTGCTTTTCGTGCTATCGGATGGAAAGCCTACAGACGGCAGTAATGAAAATATCGCCAAGATCAACACAATTACCTCCAAGTATAGAGAAGCAAGCGTCAAAATAGTATCATGTTTTATTACTAGATCCAAAGATATTCATCCAAAACGTTTGTACGATAAAACGTCACCTGATTGGGAACCTGGAGCCAAGTTTCTGTTTTCGCTGAGCTCTGAAGTACCAACACAGCATCTGCCACGAGCTATTTTGGTCAAACGTGGTTGGACGATCGATATTGCCAACAATGAAACGAAGTTGTTTATGCAAGTCAATCATCCGGAAAACTTAAGGTATTAAGTTCAACAAAACCTCTTTTAGGAATTCATCAGTGGGGGGCGGTCGGGAGATCATCAGAGGGGGAGGCATCAACAAAGAGATACCTCATTGGGCAGTGGTAAATAGGCACAGTTTGGTCAAAGTTTCGTTTGGCTAATTTTGACACCCATTTTAATAGCTCTCTCTTTGCCATTATTATTACTTTAAATGTATTTCTTTTACTGTACACACCCTTGGTTGAAATCAGAAAATAAAACGTTTGGTGGTGGGCCAGCTTATATGTTTAAAAAGGCTACACAGCCAGAAACGCGCAAGTTGCAGCAGGTCTGCTGCAGACTTGATGCACCTTGCGATCATCAAGCCGATGTCAAGATGCGTTCGCATCGCTTGCTCTAGCTTGATAATATCCAGTCTGTTGCAAGTTGTCAACAAGCCTGCTGCAAATTGTTGACAACTTGCGGCAGACCGGTAAATCCGCAGCTTGCAGCAAGTCTGTGGCGTTTCTGGCTGTGTACCACGTGCAGTAACGATGTTAACTGCAATCTTGTCCCCAGTTTCGATTTCAATGTAATTGCCAAAACCGATGACCTGTTTAAAACTGTGATTGCTAAGTATAACATTCCTAACTCTGTATTACTCGTTTTCTTTTGTACTTACTTTTTCTATATTTGTTGTGCAAGCACACAACGCAACCATTTTCCCAGGGATCCAGTGCGCTTAAACAGAATTCTGACTTCAATGTAATCACTTTCAGGGAAGCGTGCAAAATGGCCAAAGATGTCGTTTGTTCCGCAGATACATTATCAGAATTGCTGGTATCTGTTAACCTCGACATATACATCAGCCAAACCACGAGTAGTTTTAAAGCGAAGGAACAAGAGGGAGGAACCTGCTACGCAAATGCATCTGCTGCCGTGCTTCATTTGGCAATGCAGCGAATTCACGGTCGAGAAGGCGGTTACCCAGATTTTCACGAGTTAAGAGATGAAATGGTCAATGCCTATGGAAACGATGGCGCTAATACCAGTGAAGTTTTGGACGAAATATGCCCAAAGTATCGTTTACACAGCCAAAGCGTTTGCATCAAGGGAGCGATGGAAGTCATTGTCAAGAAGCGTCCTGTGGTAGCAAGATTCCGTCTAACGGACGACGAATGGGATGTTTTTAGAAATTTCTACGACACCAATCGAGTTAGTATACTCACGCAAGAAGAACTTGATGTTCGTAAGCGTCCTACAAGTCCTCCACCTCGCACGTTTGGCCATGCTGTCGTTTTGACCAGTTACAACAGCAAGTGTTTGACCTTCATGAATTCGTGGGGACAAAAGTGGGGCGACAATGGATTCTTCAGAGTACAAAATGCAGAAGTGCTTCAACTGGAATTCTTCGACGTTTACTGGACGTTGAATGACTTGACTGAAGGAGAGAAAGAGTATTACCATCGACATGGATCTGAAGTTGCTGCAAAGTTGATGAAATCGTTGAAAGGCTTGCAAAAAGCGGAATACACCTGCCCAGAATGTGAGCAAACATCGTTGGTTACTGAATTCATTGGAACGCTGTCGAAAGTTCAGTGTTCGAAATGTTTGCGCGAATTTTCAACTAACGATAACGCAGGAAACATTCTGGCACTAAATATGTACTTGACATCTTTGAGCAAATGACTGCATTGCTCTGTATAATTATTGAGAGGACGAAGAGGTATATTACTTGAAAAAGCTTTGTTATCCATAAAAAGTTTCATTGTAATTTATTATATAGCATTGTAGTAATATTGTATGATGAGCAGATTGCTCTGCTCTGTATATCGAGGGTATATTACTCGAAGATTTATTATAGTCCATATATAATTTCACGATTTTCACCATGTTGTAATCTAGAGTAATTGACTGTATTTCTAAAGCCAGCGGAACTCGTTTGACGTCAGTCCATAATTATATATGCCCCTATAACTTGAGCTTATCTTCACCAAATTGTAAAAATTAATTAAAATTTAAGTTTGTCTCACCCTTACCTGCAGTGCTTTATTTTTTGCCGGTTCGCAAATGTTTTCAGATTTTAGAACCATCCATTTATATTTGCAGTTTTAGAAATATCTATTTTCGAAGTGGAACACATTAGGATGATCCCTGATGTAAACGTTTAACCATAGCAGCCCAAAAATGCGTGGTAGATATTTGTCTCTTTTATGTAGCCTCAAGTTTTGGAAGCTTGTGCTCACACTACAAGCCACTCAGGCAAAGGTTTTAATCAGCCAATCAGCATTGGCCAAATTAGGCCAAAGTCATGCAAGCATATAGGACTGCGGTGTAAAGAATTAATTAAATACTGTGTATTACTGTGTATATATTGCATAGAATTTTGCGACGGCAACATAAACATATTGTCTTCTTGGAAAACATCAAGGTCATTTATTTCCGGTTGACGCTATAAAACGATGAATAATTTATGCTGATTTGGACCGCAAAATCCGTGGTTTTCTCGGTAACCTAACTTTCAGTTCTACCTGGAAGACGCTCTGATTAGTTTATTCAACATGCTTCAGAACGAATCAAGAACGAAATTGAAAGGTATGTAATTTCAATTTACTGAAAATTTTTGGTGTTCCTAATACTATAGTGTATACGTAATAGTTATTACTCCAGTGCTTTACTAGTTCGAGAGGAAATCACTGCTTTAAAATATAAATTATGAGATGTTTGAATTTTAGACTTTCGAAAGTCTGGCAATTTAGTATAGTCAAATATATCATCGACTTTAGCGAACTGTTTTTTTTAACTTGCACTCTCTGGACACTCATAATTTACGAAATTTTCATTTAAGTACATGAGACTTTGACGCGATTTTTCTTTCGCTTTAGAGTTCAGTCAGTGAGAGTTTTTCATGCACGAAAATAATTGGCAACTGAGTCCATAAAACTCGGCGAATAGCAACAAATTTCAAACAAACTTTAACGGGATTTCAGACTACGATTAATGAAATTAAACTCCCAGGTAAAACTGTTACATCGACCGACGAATTAGTCGACATTTTTAATGATCATTTTAGTAATATTGGCCCAAAGCTTGCTGAGTCTATTCCAAATGACAATGACGTTAGTTTTCGAGATTTTATTACTCAACAAAAATCTAAGACAAAGAACAGTTTCTCATTTCGACCAGTGAGTGTAACATTGGTTTACACTCTTCTAGTTAAGCGACTGGAATAGATAAAATTTCAGCTAAAATTCTACAAGTAGCAGCTCCAGTTATTGCACCTTCTCTTACTGAGATTTTTAATATGTCAATTGACTCGGATCAATTTCCTTCTGATTGGAAAGCTGCAAGGGTTATTCCATTGTTTAAGAAAGGTCAGCGGTCCATGTTGGACAACTATGGACCGATATCAATCCTTCCTGTAGTAAGTAAACTTATGGAAAGAATTATGTATGATCAAATGTATGAGTATCTTAACCAGAATAATCTTTTCTCAAAACACCAATTTGGTTTCAGACCTTATCATTCCACAACTACTACATTATTGGATTGTACGAACGAATGGTATACCAGCATGGACCGTGGGCTGTATAACTTAGTTGTTTTTCTTGACCTAAAAAAAGCATTCGATACAGTCGACCACGAAATACTGTTAAGTAAGTTTGAAATGTATGGTTTCCAAAGGAAAGCATTAAATCTTTTACGTTGCTATTTGACGCACCGAATTCAAAGTTGTCAATTGGCCAGTATACTCTCGGTGGAGAAAGAAATCATTTGTGGCATTCCTCAGGGAAGTATACTCGGCCCTCTCTTATTTATTATGTACATAAATGATTTGCCAAGCTGTCTAGAACGCACAACTCCAAGAATGTTTGCTGATGATACTAACTTAACGGCAGTAGGCAGAACAATTAGTGAGGCGGAAGAGAGGGCGAGCGTAGACATGAGGAATGTTCAGAAATGGCTTTGTGCAAATAAACTAAGTCTAAATATAGCGAAAACCGAGTATGTTTTAATTGGAACACGACATAAAATAAGTAATATTGATACCCATCAAGGAGTTAAAATAAATAATCAATTGATTAAAAAAGTTAAAAATACCAAAGCTCTTGGAGTTGAATTAGACGAAAACTTGAGTTGGGAAAAACACATTAACCATATTAGCAGTAAAATATCATCAGGTATTGGGGCTATTAGAAAAATGAGGGAGTATGTCGAACAAGACATTTTAATAAAAGTTTATAATGCCTTAATCCAACCTTATTTTGATTATTGCTGTGAAGTATGGGATACACTTAATAAAGGCCTAAGTGAACGTCTACAGAAATTCCAAAACAGAGCGGCTAGGTTGATCATGAACTTAAAAAATGAACATGGTCAGTCTATTTTGGCACGAAAATCTCTAGGCTGGGTAACACTTGAAGAGCGTAGGGCACAAATGAAAGCCAGGCTCATGTACAAGACAGTTAATGGTTTAGCCCCCCAACGACTATGTGAAGCTTTCCAAAATCTGAATACCATTCATGACCATAATCTGAGAGGTTCTTCAACAAGGTTTTATATTCCAAGACCAAAAACGGAATCCTTAAAAAAAAGCTTCCAATATAGTGGGGCTAAACTATGGAATCAGATACCTGAAGAGATACGCAATTCGGTATCGTATAATTCGTTCTGTAAAAAGCTATCTGGTATATAATTGTATTGTATGTATGTAATATTAGGCTAGTAGTTAATTTTTTGTCTAAATAGGTATATAATTGTATTTGTTATGTATGTAATATTAGAGCTAGTATATAAATAATAATTTGTAAGTACACATCCCTTTTGGAAATCAGCTTTTGCTGAAAAGGCCAATGTGTTTAAATAAAGTTGATCTAGTTGCTCATGTGATTCAGAGATGGTATATGCGGCAAGTCAAGCGCCTTACGACAATTGCATTGCGTTGTTAGCTTTAAAATGCGTCAGTCATTTCTTACCTGCTTTTGCCGAAACAAAATTTGGTTGCCAAGTAGTAAACCGCTATTGCGTACATTAGTATTACAGTTCACACTGCGCCGCCAAAATAAGTTATCCTAATTTTTCAGTTTTACGATGCAGAGTTCTTTTTTCCGCAATTTTCCCGCGACAACACATATTGAAAAATTCCCGGAGATCTATCACAAAATCTGAAATTAAGAAATGTTATAGACGTGTGTATGTAGACTTTGATCACAGAGAACAGCTAATAAATGGTGGGGTTAGTTTAGAATCTCTGGTCTGATCCTGGACACTCGTAATTTACGAATTTTTCATTTAAGTGCAAGACTTTGACGCGATTTTCCTTTCGCTTTAGATTCAGTTGAGAGTTTTTCATGCACGAAAATAACTGGCAACTGAGTCCATAAAACTCAACGAATAGTAAAAAAAACTCAATGACTAGTAAAAAATTTCTAAACAGCTTTAATGGGATTTCAGTTGCTGTGATTCAGGGATAGCATATGCGGCAATTCAAGCGTTTCGACAATTGCATTGCGTTGTTAACTTAAAAACGCGTCAGTCACTTCTTACCTGCTTTTGCCAAAACAAATTTGGTTGCCAAGTAGTAAACCGCTATTGCATACAGTTCTATTTGTTTTGCATTCAAGCAGACCATGACAGTGCCGCACCGCCAAAATAAGTTATCCTAATTTTTCAACTTTACGATGTAGAATTCTTTTCTCCGCAATTCTCCCGCGATATTTAAACACAAAGGCATTGTGGCATTTGTATATACCTAGCTGAGATTTGATAAATTCCCGGAGATCTATCACAAAATCTGAAATTATAAGAAATGTTATAGACGTGTGTATGTAGACTTTGATCACAGAGAACAGCCAATAAATGGCGGGGTTATAGTTTGGAACTTATCTCAATTCAACCTGTCCATATTTCCTGCGGGAAGCAAGAATCGAAACTAATCGAAGCTAATATATCAGAAGTGGTATAGGCGTTTGCTCTGGTGTGCCACTAAACCTGTGTTTCCAACAACTCATAACGGCAAGGGTCATGTAGGGGTAAAATAGCAACTGCATGGGATTTGCGTATTTTTAGACTGCGAAAATGAGATTTGGGTTACTGGGACTGGGAATGACTGACACAAAAATTGGAATGGGAAAACCATTACGAAGACAGAGTTAACATTTCTTAATTTCAGATTTTGTGATAGATATCTGGGAATTTTTCAATTCTCAGTTAAACGACAATGCAGCACTCGTAAAGAGTACCTTAAATAAATAGAATATTCTGCACAAGGTGCATGCCTCACTATAGATAAGCTTTACGCGGTTTCACGAGGTCTCCTTGCCTTTACTACTATAGACTACTGTGTGTAAACGTAATATTTTTTATATTTGTGCCAAATAAGTGTATCTTGTTGTTGTAATAAGTGTATCTTGTTGTTGTATCTTCTTGTCTTGTCTTGTCTTGTCTTGTCTTGTCTTGTCTTGTCTTGTCTTGTCTTGTCTTGTCTTGTCTTGTCTTGTCTTGTCTTGTCGGGATGTTCTTTTCAATTTTACATTTGGGACCGGTATTTAGTTGGTGGGGAAATGGTGCAAAATGGGATCTAGACGCTGTTCAATACACTTCTCTTGAGTTCATAAGATGATACTTTTTAGAGGAGGTTTTTTGTCTGATGGTAAATACCAAAGGATTCGAATTTTTTTTCATTGCAGATAAAACAAACATGTCGCTAACTGGAATACTACTTGATGTTCCTGGTTCTATGGAGAAGAACATTGGAAGCGGTACTGACGAAGAAGGTGGACTTGGGCTCAGTCTATTTTCAATGTTATCGATGACCTTATTGAACATGATCTTACGTCTGAGAATCGTGTTTTTACAATACTCTGGTTCTCCATTATAACATACGAGCCTCTAGTCCTAGTCTAGGGTACATTTTAATTTACGTGCGTGGAGAAACCGTCGGACAAAGCTACAGTTCGGTCGGACACCAATTCACTCGGGTCGAACAAACAGTAAACCTCAGTTTCACGTAGGTCGGACAGAATGTCCGGTGGTTTCCTTTCTACGTCGTACAATTTGACGAATGGGTTGGACAATGTCCGTGACCGACCGATATTTTAAGGCCTGGGTATAATTAAAAACTAAAGCACTCACATTTTTCTTTATTGCAGATAAAACAAGCATGCCGTTGACTGGAATACTACTTGATGTTTCTGCATCTATGAAGAAGAACATTGGAAGCGGTACTGATGTAAAAGGCGGACCATGGGCTCAGTCTATTTTCAATGTTATCGATGACCTTATTGAACATGATCTTACGTCTGAGAATCGTGTCTTTGCAATAGGCGTCGGTGCTGAATGTCCCGGCAAAGAAATATTTGATGTTATTGCAACTCTTCAACAATTTGAAAACACGAACAGGCCTGCAACTGAAGACCACATCAACGAGATCCTTGATATTCTCGAGAGAAACGGTGCACGCAACATACGTAATTGGGCCTGCAATTTTGAACTGATTCAAGGTGTACTATCTGATTATATGGCAACACTGACTCTGCGAGAATTTGAATCGGACAAACAGTTTGTCAAAAAATTTGTGGACGAGTTTTTACCATCCAGTTGTCGTGATAAAGTACAAACAGCATCTCATGCTGGCGGCCAACCTCGAACCCAGCCTTTCAATCTGAGCGAGAGGAGCGCAGAATCAATCCCGATCTTTCTCGATCCAAGAACTGGCGCATCCACAAGGCCAGATTTTTATTTTCAATCCAGAGGAGTGCAGAATGAAAGCCTGAGTTCATGGTTGTTTGGCGGCGTACTATTTGGTCTACGTACAGCAGCGAACGTGGCAGAGAATGCTACTGTATGGACAGCTAGTTGTTTTAGATCAGCTACGAGAGAAGATATCGAAGAAGTTGTAAGAAAGGCAAAATGCTATTTAGAAGATGCCTCTCGCATTTTAAAAGACGTAGGGACCAACTCAATATTCAGTGTCCAAGATGCCTCTCGCATTATCCGTGGATGCGTTGGTGAAAAGAAACTTAACGAACTTTCTAAAGAGCGGAAGCAAGAGTTACTTGAGAACGTCGAGCCTTTCATTTATGGCGGAACGCCATTGTATGGATCTCTCGAAGAGGCAATAAAGCTTTTCGAAAGAGACGACACATCTGAGAACAAATTGCTTTTCGTGCTTTCAGATGGAGAGCCTACAGACGGCAATGATGACGATATCGCCAAGGTCAAGCAAATTACCTCCAAACTAAGAAATGCAGGCGTCAAAACAGTGTCTTGTTTTATCACTAGATCAACAGATATTCATCCAAAACGATTGTACGATGAAATGCCACCTGATTTGGATCCTGGACCCGAGTTTCTGTTTTTGTTGAGCTCTGAAGTACGAACACAGGATTTAGTGGCACGAGCAATCTTGGTCAAACGTGGTTGGACGATCGACATTGCCAACAATGAAACAAAGTTGTTCATGCAAGTCAATCATCCCGACAACTTAAGGTATATCAAGATTATCAAGTTCAACAATAATGTCTCTTTTAGGAAATCATCGATCAGCAGTGCATTGAAACGCGGTAAAGTACGAATTGGTTGATGAGGGTGTAGGGTCCTACCCCAGAACTTTTTGGGGGCTAATATACTTAATAACTACTAATACTGATAAAATTGCCAAATCTGCAGGTTTATCAATGTCAGGGAAAATTTGCAATTTTAACTGTATGCGATAAGCGCCACGTACTGTTTCTCTTCCTTCCGTCTCATTGCAGGAGTGCAGTATTTTGTTGCTGAAATCTGTGTAGCTCACTAGTTCTATAATTTATCGTACTAGTATCATGATACGAGTGCTTTAATACTGAATTCTAACGTTTTATCATGGATTTACTTTCAGGGAAGCTTGCGAAATGGCCCGAGATGTCGTCTGTTGTCCTGATGCTTTATCTGAATTGATTGTATCTGTTGACCTCGACATATATATAAACCAAACCACTGATGAGTTTATACCGAATAAACAACAGAGGAAGACATGCTATGCGAACGCATCTGCTGCTGTGCTCCATTTGGCAATGCAACGAATTCACGGTCGAGAAGGCGGATATCCAGATTTTCACAAGTTGAAAGATGAAATGATCGAAGCCTATGGAAGCGATGGTGCTGTTACCCGTAAAGTTCTGCAAGAAATATGCCCGAGGTATCGTTTACACAGCCGAAAAGTCCGCATCAAGGGAGCGAAGAAAGCTATTGTCAAAAAGCGTCCCGTGGTAGCAAGATTTTGTCTAACGGTCGACGAATGGAAAGCTTTTTCAAATTTTTACGAGAATGATCCAACAGGTATACTCACGCAGAATGAACTTGATGTTCGTAAGCGTCCTACAAGTCCTCCGCCTCCCACTTCTGGCCATGCTGTCGTTTTGACCAGTTACAACAGCAAGTGTTTGACCTTCATGAATTCCAGTGGAGAAGGGTGGGCAGACAAAGGATTCTTCAGAGTAGAAAATGCAGAAGTGCTTCAACTGAAATTCTTCGACGTTTACTGGACTTTGAATGACTTGACTGAAGGAGAGAAAGAGTATTATCATCAACATGGATCTGAAGTAGCTGCAAAGTTGGTTAACTTGTTGAAAGGCTTGCAAAAAGCGGAATACACCTGCCCGGAATGTGAGCAAACATCGTTGGTTACCGAATTTAATGGAACGCTGTCGAAAGTTCAGTGTCCGAAATGTTTGCGCAAATTTTCAACCAACGATAACACAGGAAACATTCTGGCACTAAATATGTACTTAACATCTTTGAGCAGATGACTGTGCTCTGTATAATTATTGAGAGGACGGAGAGGTATATTACTTGAAAAAGCTTTGTTATCCAGAAAAAGTTGCATTGTAATTTATGGTATAGCATTGTAGTAATATTGTATGATGGGTAGATAGCTCTGCTCGGTATATCGAGGGTATATTACTCGAAGATTTATTATAGCCCATATACAATATCACCATGTTGTAATATAGAGTAATTGACTGTATTTCTAAAGCCAGCGGAACTCGTTTGACGTCAGTCCATAATTATATATGCACCTATAACTTGAGCTTATCTTCACCAAATTGTAAAAATTAATTAAAATTTAAGTTTGTCTCACCCTTACCTGCAGTGCTTTATTTTTTGCCGGTTCGCAAATGTTTTCTGATTTTAGAACCATCCATTTATATTTACAGTTTTAGAAATATCTATTTTCGAAGTGGAACAAATTATGATGATCCCTAATGTAAACGTTTAACCATAGCAGCCCAAAAATGCGTGGTCATATATTTGTCTCTTTTATGTAGCCTCAAGTTTTGGAAGCTTGTGCTCAGGCCCGGAGC